ATTTTTGTACCAATTGGAGATTCTTCTTCAATCATCCATTCAATTGGCATCTAAATAAATAAATAAATAAATATTCAGATTTTGTTTTTTATTAAACAAACAAAATATTGAATAATAACTTACTATTGGACAAATAAAATAAGACCAATTTGGTGATCGAATTATTGATATATTAGTACGACAATAGGATATTGATGATGATAATGATGATGATATCATAATAACTAATTCAAAATATTCCTCAGATGTTCTGTTGAGCATTGATGAAATTAAATAGAGTTGACCAAGATTATTTATAGAAAATAGATTATATTTATTTCCAGATAGAATATAATAATGACTTGAATTGTTGTTATTGTAATCGATATTTTGAATGATTGTACCTAAAAAAAATAAATGAAAAACTATGATATATCAGAATCTCATCGTTTCCAATCATATACTAAGTGCGAGTGTAGGGTGGTGGTGAAGATTAGGACAACATCCACACCAAAGTTTGAACCGAACTGACACCAGTCCAAACTATCAGACCTGCTGGTTGATTGCCGATCGATTTTACCAGTTTTCATTGGTTGAAAACGTTTTTCTCATTTAAATACTGTCTCGATCATCAGATATTCTTTTTCGATCGTTCATGTTTATATTATGCCTTAAGAAAGATCAGATACTCTTCAAAAAGCGCTGCCGGCGGTAGCGTTTTTATGCCGATCTCGAAAAAAGTTTTGAACCGGTCGGACCGGTTCCAACTCTGACCCATATCCTAAAAACGCGTCTTTTATCAAATTTGTCTGCCTTGATGGATATTCTGCATGGTAGGGTAGAGAACTGAAGAGGTTTTACAGGGTAAGGGTAAGAATATTATTCTCAGTCAGAGATATAGGATAGGAAAAAAGCTTATCCGACCCATCCCTAATGTGAATCCCCTATAGATGTGACTAGAGTCCATCGGGTTCTACCTGGACAGACTCGACTGAGTCCGAGCTCAAAAATTCTTGGATTCGATGGGCTCTAGATGTGACAGACATCTTAGCAACGAGTCATCACAGATGTTGGTGATATATGATTACAGACCGTATATCAATAACGTCTTGTTCAAATATATGAACTATTTTCTTATTGTATCTCTCGAGGATTAAGTAAAAAGCATGGTGAAGAAATATGTGCCAAAGTAGATAGAATAAAAAAATCTTTCTGTAATCAGCAACTGCAGTTACATCGTGTTTCATATTTTAATCTTGTAAGGATTGTGCTAACAATTTTGCTAGTAGACTGATGATCACTATTAATTAAACCATATATTCGTAAAAATAATAGCGGAAAATTTTGTTGAAATTAGTTTTTCTTACCAGATAAAGTTCGATCAGAAATTGATATTGGTGTATTTGGACATAGTGAAATTTCTATTGGTATATCAAATTGTTTTTGTTTATTAAATATAATATAAATTAATGCTGTATCATTTAAATATGTCTTTTCATCAATTGCATAAACTAATAATTGAATTTGATAAAATTTTTTCATTCTATCTAAATCATAATTAAATGATATAATGCCATTTGTTTGATTAATAAATAAACCATATGAATTTGTTTGTAATTTATATCGAATAGTATTTGAACATTTAGCAAAAACACGAATATTATTTGTATAGAAATAATAAATTTTCGATGAAAATTTTGGTTGAATATTTGATGAATTAATAAATAAAATTTTAATTTGACTTGATGATATTAAATTTTTTTCATTTAATAATTGTATTTCAAAAAAACATAGATCAGATAATATAGGATAATTTTTAAAAAATAATTTATTTTGTTTAAAATAAAAATTTTCAATACAATTATTTCTTGTTAATGGTGTTGAATTAATAATTAAAATTAAAATTTTTTTTATTTTAAATTTTGTAATAAAAAAATTTTCTTTTAAAAGAATTTTATCAATTTTATATTCATAAAATTGTTTATTTAATTTAAAAATTTTTTCAATATACATTATTTGTATTATTGATTGACATGTATAATTTTTCCAATAACCATATATATTAAAATAAGAAATTTTTAATGAATATAATTGTTTTTTTAAAATTAATTTATTTTGTTTAATTTCAAAAAATTTTGTTTCATCAATTTTAAATTTTGTTAATAATAATTGTTGATTTAATGAATCAACAAGTTCAAATTGGAAAATTTCTGATGGAATTTTTATTGTTGAATTTAAATAAATAAAATATAAATTTGATTTAAATTTTGGTTGAATAGGAAATATAATTTGAATTTTTGTATAAATAATTTGTTGTGCATAATCAGATGCTGATGCAAAAAATTCAATTTTTTGAGGAAAAATATCTCTATGAATTGTAATTATACCTGAATATGAATCAATTATAATTCCATCTGGTTCAAGATAAAGTTTATAAATAATTCGATCATTTGGATCTAAATCATAAGCTGAAATTTGTCCAAGAATTTTATTATATTGAAATAAATATTCATTAGAAGAAAATTTTGGTGAATGTTTTGAATAATCATAAATAGTTATTGGTAGATAATTTATTGTTAAATATAAACCATCACTAACAGCAATTTTTAATTGAGAAAAAGTTTGATTAGAAAATATTTTTTGTATAATTATTCCAGTTTTTTCATTGATTGAAAAAAATTTTTGTTGATCTTTATCAATAAGATAATATTTAAGATTTTCATTATCATAGAAATCAAGATCATATGCAAATAATTTTGTTACAAATATATCATCAGATGATATTGTTAAATTTAATGGAAGATTAAAAAATATTGGATGATGATTATTATAATCAAGAATATTTAATTTAATAATAAATATTTTATTTATTGGAGAAATATGAATTTTAAATGAATAAAATTGATCAGTTAAATAATTAATAAGAGTTACTTGTCCAGTATTTGAATCGATTGTAAAAAGATCAGAATTATAATCTTGTAATGAATATTGAAGATTTTCTGTATTAGAAATATTTAATTGAAATACTATAGAACCAGGTAGAAGAATTTCTGATATTGTTTGATAATAAATTTGAGAAGTAAATGAAATTAATTCTGATTTATATATATGAATTGTTATATTAATTGTTGTATTTTTTTGATAAATTAAATCACGAGCTATAATTTGATAATATTCTATTATTTTATTATAATATTTATTTGAAATATATTCAATAATACCATTATCAGGATTAATAATAAAATTTTTTGTTGATGAAAGAAATTCATAAACAAGATGACTTCGATTTATATTATATGGTTGAGCAGATATTTGACAGACAAATATTGTTTTATTTCTATTATTAGTAATATCAAGTGAAAATGTATATGATTTTTGAGAAAATATAGGAGCTCGACTTGGAATAATATCAAAATTGATTAGTATCCCATTGCGAAGTTGAACTTGATCCGACGGCTGTTAAGAGAAGAAAAAACAAATATTTAGTTTCTTCAGATAATTCATTTATTTCAACATTGACAATGAGAACTTTCTTAAAATGTTAGAAACTATTTCAATTTATATTTCTGCTCTGACGAAGGCAACACCCAAACTAATATCCGCCACTTTGAAGTCGAGCTATGATCGTTCTATTGAATTTTCGACCCAACTTTAGGTATATACTTTTTTATGTAGATTTAAATGCACTCTATCTAATGAGCATACTTTAAGAAGGCAAAACCATATCTTTTTGCATGAAGAACTCAATTTTATGTTAAAAAAAGCCAAAAAGTGCAATTCGATCAAAATCAGATCTTTTCTCTACACGGCACAACCGATTGAGCTCAAATTTTTTTTATGGCTATTTTTATTGGTTTTTTGATAGTAATTCCAGTGTTTTGCTTCTTCTAAATCTCAAGAACAACATTTTTTCAAAGAAAAAAAAAAACTATGGACCCAAGTTTGCTCCTAATTGCTATAGAGAAAATTTCAGTCCGAAAAAACGTAGTATGGATAGTTGCGGGAGGACTTCAGGTCATTTTTCGCCCTTGATCTTTCAGAAGTAAGTATTTAGGAATTTTGAGTTTTATGACAACTTTTATTCTATTCATCAAGATCTATCTATCCTGAAAGTTTCCTTAAAAAGCAGAAATTTTTCCAGAGAATTTCCTGAAAGTTGCAGTTGAAAAGAATATTCCTTTGTCGAGATGTTGCATTTTCAAATAAATTCGATTTTTTTGTGACATATTTGTAGCGAAAAAAAGATTGTTTTGGGGAAATTCAATATCTCAACATAGGAAGATTCTTTTCGACTGAAAATTTTAAGATAATATAAAAATCACTTGGTCTGTCTATATGCAAAATTTCGTTATTTGATGAGTGTGAGTGTGCGAGACTCATCTGATCACCCACATCTAAAACGAAGAAAATTTTATTTTCATAAAAATCCGAAGAGAAAAGAAAGAATCAGCATGATCGATTACCTACAATTCACTAGATTTGATGGAATAAGCGATTACACAGTTACGGACTTTCCGTCATGAGCACAAAATGTGATAATAGTCTTAATTAACTTTCACATATTGATTTCAAACATTTTCTATACTGTCAATTTTTCTTTAGAACCGACAGTTCGAACGCTTTTCTCATTTTTTATCAATTTTTTAAAATTTTTCACTGCTAAATTATTATTTTCAATCTCGGAAGAAAATCCATTGCAAGTCACAAAAGTCCATATTAATGCGCTACAATAATTTAATCAGATAGTGCCACTCATTTTTCTCTTGGTGAAATCATCTAACGAATAGCTATTTAAAAAATCAAACTCGAAAACTAAGCGAATTTAGCTGGTGTGGTTGGTATCGGTGGCTTCAACATGCTCTCATTCAGAGGAAAACACAATTTCGACTAAAATCTGACAATTTTGTAAGAGTTAAAAAATATTCATGCAATGTGATATATAGATATCCATCGCGGCTGAGAATCTGCCGCTGCTGCGATGGTATTCAAAAGCATGTTTCGATTTTCGCCATGGACATCTCTGACGTGATACAAAAAACAATTATACCGAAGAACTGCTGGGCTCCGAGCGATTTGAACAACATGACTTATATTCACAAAATATTCTATACCTTTTTATTATCTATTAATTTATCAATATCCATATCTGAATTATTTTCCTTTCTAATCATCATATAAGGTATTGATGAAAATTCATCTAATGTAATTAAACAACGTGAATTATCAATTTCAATTAAGAGTATTAAATTATTCATAATCGATTGATTTTGATAACGATAACGTAAATAACCATGTTTACGTTCAAGTATAAATAAATGATTATAATTTAAGAGATAAAATGATCGTTTATTTGAATAATTTTTATTAATATTTAAAATTTTAATAAATCCAATTAATTGATTTTCTATTGAAAAATTAAATCTATTTAATGAACATTGTATTATTTCTTTTGATAGAATATTAATTTGAATACGAAATTTTCCAATAATAAAATTATAAAAATTTCCATTTATTAAAATTAATGTTTGATTTTTAATAAATAATCTTCCATTATTATCAATAGAAAACATTGATGAAATTTTTCTATTTAAAATTTTCATATTTAAATTTATTTCATTTAAATATCCAATTGTATAATTATTAACAAATGGTTTATATAATATAAATTTATAAAATAATTGTTTATAATCATCATTAATAATAATATTTAAACGTGTAAATGTAATTAAAGTTTCATATTTAGCAAGAATAAGAAGTGAATATTTAATAAATGAATTTTTTTTTCCAATATATTTTATTATTCCAGCATATTGATCTAATTCAAATGAATTTATATTTGTTTGATTAATTAATTGATAAGTTATATTAAATGAATTTAAATATTGATTTCGATTTTTTATTAATAAATGAATTGGTTCTTCATTTTCATATACAAATGATATAGAATTAAGTGAATTATTAACATAACCATTATAAAATTCTTTTTCAAATATAAATTCAATTATTTCATTAGAATATTTTATATCAGAATTCATAAAACATTTAGCAATATTCGAAGACATAAATGAATCAAATCCATAAATAGTCAAAGAATCATAATGATCATATTGTTGACCAGTTAATGGATCAATACTATGTGTAGGTGTAGATTTATATGTAAAAAGATATGGAGAAGCATTTAAATAAAATGGACAAGTAAATTGTATACCAATATTTGATATAAATATAGTCACAATACAATATATAGGTCTTATTTGTGATGTATCAATAATAAGTAATTCAATTGGATAAACATATGAACGAGAACGAGATTCATCGAGAAGAAGTAAAGATTGATTAGATGAATCAATAGAAAATAAACCTAATGGATCACCTAAACAAAAAGAAAAACAACGTTCTAATCATTAAATTGTAGCTGGACAAAATAGTGCTGAGAAGTTTGTTTTGATACTATTAGAATTGATATGGTCTTTTGAGACAATTATTATTTGTATGCGATCAGGACCAATGCGTAAAGAGCAGAGTGCTCAAGAAGACTACTAGTGATGGTCATCTGATCCACTTTTTACTAATTCATATTTCTCAAAGATGAAACGATGGATTCCTATACTCTCCTTTGGAGAGAACATCGTTTCTCCCTTGATTTTTCTTCATAAATGTAGCCAATTTTTTCAATTTTTTTATTGCATAAAAATTCTAAGAACTGTCATTTGTCTTGAATAATGACGAGAAGAAATGGTGGTCATCAGTCAAAATCAAGCATTTTTTTTTGTGCAAAAATGATGAAAAAAATGGCCTTATTGTATTAAATTATTCTGATATCAAATAATAACAAAACATTTTGTTTTCTTACCTTCAATAATTTGAGCATCTGGTTTAATTTTTTTTCCATCATGATCATTATTATTTATTAATTCTAGATCAATTAAATATTTTTTTTGATTATTTATTAATGATGTTTCAAATATAACTAAATAATTATCTTGTGTAAATCGATATGAATTATTTATTTGATTGTTTGATTTTTCTTTATCAAGAATTTTAATATGTAAACGTGTATAAGCTATTTGAGAAATATTTTCACAACGATAAATAATTGTTAATAAATGTTTTTTATTCATAAATTTTTCTAATAATTGAATATTTGTTATTGTACCTGAATATGAATCAATATGAAATAAATCTTTTGATTGAATTCTTTCAACTGAATGAATATTATATGTACAATTATTAAATGAATTTTCAATAGTTAAACGTTTTATTTTTGTACCAATTGGAATATCTTTTGATACAGATATATAATTATCTAATTGAGAAAAATAAATTAATGAACGTTTATCATTTATAATATGAATAATAACCTAAGAAAACAGAAAAGAAATTATTTTAAATAAATAAACAACTTATTAATATAGTTCTAAAATATGGAACTCACAAATGTTCTTGCGCCTCGTTATACTTATACAAAATATGCTGGGTAAAAAGAAACCTCTAAGAGACTATAGGTTGCTCTATTCACTCGTTGTTTTTCATTTTCGTATTCTATTTTTATTAATTTAACATTATTATTCTAACCATTAATTTAATCGGCAGATAAGTCCGTTGTACATGTCTAGTAGGTCTCAACGTACTATTATATATCCCGATAAGCTCACAAAAACTGATATTGATTACTCCAGAGATGGAACCGGTCTTTACCAGTATGTTTTATTTATCTTTTTTGCTTTTATTATCTCGTAGAAGATGTGTAATGAAACTTTGTTTAAAGTTAACTACGTCAAATATCACTATCCACCGTAGAGGTGTCAGCTTCATATTTCCTTCCTAGTAATCCAGAATCTGGTGTGAGATTTCGTTCCCGAGAACTCAGAGCTAAGGATGGCACTTTGACTCTAACAACACTTTAACAAAGTGGTTAAAGTAGAGATCTTTTGCTAGAGAAAAAGCGATTTTTTTTTATAACGTTTGACCAAAGAATCTATATCTAGTAAAAAAATCTCTACTTTCACTTTAAGTACTTTACTAAATTATTATTAAAGGTAAAGTATCACCCCTAAACAGGAACCTGTAAGGGGAATCCATAGTGAGTTGCTACATAATGAAAGGATGGGTATGTTTAAACACCTTCCCCTCCCCCCCCCCTCGGATGCTCAAAAATGCATGGAAATGAATTTTTAAGAGAGTTCCCATTCCTTAGGACTGCAGCCGTGATAGGCCTAATCCACAGATGGACTAGTACGATAACTCGTCAGTCCAGTGTGGGTATGGATTTTAGGCCGTCCAGTCTAGCCTACTCAGGCTGATGTTGGTCGTGAAAAATCTAGACCAGTTCCATCTCTGAATTATTCTCCGAAATTATAACTTGATCATATGACGACTTTGGCAGATCAATACATCACTATCCATCATTCTTGACGTCTTGAATATAAATTTTTATCCGCGTACATTATTTAGAACATTTACAAATGCATTTCATCCATGTAATTTTCGGAGAAAGATTTTGAATATCCTAGAACAGTGTAAGTCTTATTATTAATGCCGTACCGTTGGTCTCTTCCCTCTCGGCTGCTATGAGGAGTAGCCGCAAAATCTTGGCTTAAAATTTCCACTACACTATATTTGTCTTCGATAAATATAATGTGAGTTCTACAAAAATGAAGTAAAAAATTTACTTTAATTGTATTCATATGAATCCAATCATTAGTTATATTAATACGAAGTTCAATTATTGTTGTTTTATTAATTAATTCATCAATAGGACGAATAAGAATAAGTTCACCAGATTGAAAATTTACATGAAAATAACGTGTATGATCAATATGACCTATCATAATAAACCATTGTGTATAATTATTATTATTTATTCTAAGTTGTCGTAGAATAGAACCAACTTTTGTTGTTGTTAATAAATCAATATTAATTATTGATTCATTAATCAATAATAATGATGAAGAATCAATGATATTTATTGGTAGAATACGAATTTTTATTGGTAGAATAACTCGAGATGAAATAATACGCCATTTACTACGAGTTGAATGTTTATGATGAATATTTTCATCTTGTTCAATATCATCACGATAAGCAACAGTAAATGCTTCAACCTATTTAACAATAAGTTTTTATTTATTTTTTTATTTATTAGAAATAGTTTTAAGCAAAGATTTTATTTATAAAATGACGAAAGTTTATTGATATACAACTGTTGTTTATAGTCGAATCGTCAGATGAATAATCATTGATCGTTTTTCAAACTACTAAATTAATTATTAGAATCTCGGAGAAAAAACTTTCGTTCTTCTTATTTATTGTGTCACAATAAGTCCTTAGACAACAATGAACTTTTTTTGCTATCAAAATTCTATGTTTGAATATCATTAGACAGCACTCAAAATCTATTTCGTTACTTGTTTTTTTAAAGTCAGTTCAGAGATTGGTGAATGCTATTCATTATCTTGGCATTTATGTATGTGCGAGTCATTGTTTGTGTTCTATGCAATTCCTGTGTTAAAATTTTGATATATTGAAAAAACATATCTATTTGTTAATTCATCGAATTCTCTTGAGATCAGTGATCTGTTTCATATTCTTATAAATGGGGAAGTAGCATCACTAGGCATAGATTAAATCAGATAGCATCAAACAACTATTCTCACAGTAAAGTATGCGTCAGTGTAATTCTCTTTTTGACTTACAGCTACTTACTTCAAATATAATGAATGTTTCATAGAGAATAACACTGTTTCGTATTTTAGAGTACTTTTCTTCAGACATCATTATAGTTTTCATTAAAATATCCGATAAAATTCTCTGCTTAAGTTCAATTAGAACATATCAGTCGAAAATGAAACTAGACAGATACTTAATGTCAATATAAATATATCTATTCTATTTGAATGTTTTTTATGCTTTCTGAAAAATCATGTTTTACAACATTATAATACAGTGTAATATTTTAGCTACTTCTCGCACTGCTAACATCAATTAGCTTTATTCAATCTCATTCATCATTTTTATTATATATATATTAATTATGCAAAGATCGATGACACGACAGATGAGCCTTGATATGTGAGCTTCGATAGATTATGAACGTGAAAACTTATTATATTTCAAACATTTGTTAAGAAAGTTAAATACTAATAAGGCTCCCACTCTCTTGAAATATTCTTTTCTTGGATATATATACGAACATAAGCAATCAGATATTGTAGCCGTTCGTCGATTTCTTCATATAAGGCCCCTCGGCAAAAATCGATCTTGAGTCAAGAAAATTCAAATCGCATGAAACTTTCAGGATATCTTCGAGCTGGTGTGAAGAGGCTATGGTAAAATTTTCAACCCTATATCATGACGTTTCCGGGAGATATTCAACAAACAAGGATCAAAAATAGATCATTTGGCAACCTAAATTTTTCCATGGGCCTTCATTCTATAGACTTAATTTTTTTTTTGTTTGGAAGGATGTGTCAGGATGCAGGGCATAATAGAGCCTTTTTTTTCAAATTCTTACTTTTTAAGGGGAAAAAAAGGGTTGAAAAGTTCAACATCTTAAATAGCTCACAAAAAATGGCGGTCTAACTATAAAAGTATTCTTTTATATAATACTAAAAAAGCTTCATTCGAAAAAAGCGGCTCTATCATGCCTTGCATCTTGACATGCGCTTTCAAACAAAAAAAACCTATTGGCTACAATGAAGCTTCTTCGAGAGTTCTTGGATGAGCGATCGAAAAACTATAAAACAGGATGCTGAGTAAAAATTTTTCTTGTTTATGAGAGATCAGATCATGGGCTATATTTCCTTGCATTTATCTTAGTTTCGATCATTCTGATGAAAAAGGACCTTTTTTTGAGGGAAGGAGCATAAAGCACGTTTAGTTATTTTCATATTTCCAGTTTTCACTTTATCAGCAAAAATTAAATTAGCATCCTATTCAATTCTGAATAGTTTCATAAGTAGGCAGACGTTTACGACATACGGATCTGAACGTGGGTGACTAGATGACTCACATCCTCTTTGTTCCGAACATAGATGTGCTGCTGTGACATCGCCGCCACGGCGGCATCATGGACATCTCTGGTTCCGATATACTCCAAAATTTTTTGCAGTAAATAACTAATCAAATACCAAGAATTAATTTTATTTCTTTAAAGAGTCGCTGATGTACTGAGAGAGGAAAGTGATTAACTAATTGTATATATCATTATTTAGTACGTTATCGAATCTTAGTGAACAGTGTGCTTAACATTCATGATTGGCGGAAACTACAAATGAAAGTTTTAACTATCGATGCACTACATATATTTTTATATGGCCAATATAAATTTATCGTATGGTGGTTTAACCCAATACAATTCTCTACTATCTTACATAATCAAAAATCAAATTAATATTTGTCTGTTAAGTAAAAATGATGAAAGAGATTGAATAAATCCTATTGGTATTAGCAGTCAGAGCAATAACTAAAAATATTACAGTGCGTTATAATGATGTAAAACTTGATTTTTTATTAAAACCTACGATGCATTCGATGTAAACCAGTAATTCTGGTATTGGTTCAAATCTAATTCTTTTTAGCGTTCTATATTGATAAAAGATTTTTATGATATATTTTTCCTTACATTAAATTCATATGTTCTATTAGAATATAATAATTGTTTTGAAGCTATATAACCAGTTCGACGATTAATAATAAAATATTGATTAGAATCAATAATTTGATAACGTATTTCAATATTTTTATCATAGATTTCATGATCTAATAAAGCAATAACTTGAAATAAACGTTGTCTTAATTGTTTATTATAAGATGAAATTTCTATTAAATCAATATTATATGTTGATGAATATAAAAATTTAGGTATTAATTGTTGTCGTCGAATAAGATTAACTTCTAAATAACAATTAACAGATAATTGATGTTGATTATCTAAAGCTTGTATTGTTAATAAATAATTAGATATTGATAAATGATTATTTTGATTTGATGATGATGATGATGATAATAATAATTGAATAGAACCTGTTTGTTTATTAATAGAAAATATTTTTTCATTTAAACCATTATTTATTATTGAATATTGAAGATGAATATTATCATAAAATGATAATGCTTGAATATAAGCAAATGTTGATTGTATTGAATAATCATAAATTTTTATATTTTGATAAATATCTATACATTGTGGTAAATAGAAATTTTCTTCTCGAACTGATATATGAATATAAACAAATGAATGTGGTGGATGAGCACGATAACGTGTTAAACGAATCGAAAGCCAATAAGATGGATTAGATAAATCAGTTAATGAATTAATAATATGAATAGAACCTAAACAAAATTCTAGATCAATAAGAGAATAAATAGGAAGAAAATGAAAATCGTAGGACTTCTCTACTCGTACTATTAGAACCATAGAGATCTATCTAATGAAACAAGAAATAAAGTTTCTTCATAAACATACGGTATATTAGACTTAATTGTATCATATTCAAAATAAATATTTCAATAAGAAAATAATACCTTGTTGATCAATAGAAAATGGTATTGTATTTTCTTCATGAATTATATCAATAAAATCAATAGATGATTCTAAAAGTTGTAAATGATGATAAACATTTGTAATAATTGCTCCAATTGGTGTAGATTGATTTATTGTTATATTATAAGCTGGTTCACGTAAAAGAATTGGTTCTTGTATTTCTATAAAACGTATTACATAAATATAAATCCATGTAGAATTTATATGTAAACCATCGGATACTTTAACTGTAATATTTATATTTTGATCAATTATATTATATAGATTATATTTTAATCGAAGATGACCAGTATATCGATTTATTTTAATATATGGATTTAAATCAATAGAATAAATTAGATTATCTTTTGAATCTAAATCAATTGCATAAATTTGACCAAATATTGTATCACGTGGTAAATCTGAAAAAATATGATAAGTATAATTTGCTAATGAAAATTGAGGAATATTATCATTGATATCAACTATTGTAATATGTAATGTCATACAAATTGATTGTAATTGTAGTTGTTGACCTTGATCAGAAGCAATGATATGTAATAGAAGAAAAGATATTTGTTCACGATCAATTGGTCGAATAGAATCAATTTGTCCACTATAGGAATTAATTGTAAAATATTGATTATAATCAAGTAATGAATAAAATATTGTACCATTTTCACCTATTTAGTATGATTAGATAATTAGAAATAAAAAAAAAATTAAAATAAAATTTACCTTGATCAGGATCAAATCCTTGAACATGAAAAATATTTGTTTGTATTTGATTTTCATTTAAATAAATATGTTTATGAAAATAATTACATATTGGAATATTATCATTAATATCATCAATATAAATTGTTATTAATATTTTTTGATAATATTTATTTGAATATTGAAAAGAAAATAATGAATTTTTCTCTTGAAAATCCGTATATATTTCTTGTAATTTTATTGCATATGTAGGTTTTAATTTTAATTCAATTTCGAAAATATATCGATCTTGTTTTTCACGATCAAGAGGTAATATTAATTTAATTATTTTTTCATTTTGATCAATTATAAATGGTACTGATGTATCATTAATTATATAGAAAAAAAGATTATCTTTTTCATTATTAATAAATAAAGGAAAAGTATCATAATCGATTTTTAAACGATCAATAATTGTATTTATTTCAGAATCTTCAGAAACATGATAAGATGTTGAATTTCGATTAAAACCAATATTAAGAGAAATAGTATTCGTATTTGAAGATAGTGCCGAAGAATATCTGATTGACAAGAAAAAAAATAGTGTGAAATTATTTCTTCAAGTATTGCAAATAAAAAATTAAAAAAAGCTAGCATGAGTAGTCATGATTGACTCATAGACAATCTAAATCATTGTGTCTCTGGTAACAATAGTACTGACAAGAGCACTACACCAAGTGATTCAAAATTTTTGTGTTGACATTTTTACTGTAAGTGGGATCCAGGAAGACTAGAAAATGTCTAATAGGATAAGGATTCATAGGTCTTTTTAACCGAGTTATGAGCATAATATAGATTTCATGACTCCGATAGCAACGTAAAAAACAAATACTTCTTTCTCTAGATAATGAGTTTTCAAGAAAAATCGATTTTTCGTGGCATACAGCATCATGAAAGTGTTTCTTGAAGACTCAATTTCTCGAGAAAGAAGCATTCGTTTTGATTAGAAGATTTAGATCGCTATACGAGCCATGAAATCTATATTAGGCTCATAATTCAGAAAGAAAGACCTATTGGTTCTTATCCTATTAGACTTTTTCTAATCTCGCAGAGTCCTACTCATGAGAAAAATATCAGCGAAAAAGTTCTGAATCACTTTCGACGATTCCTCGTGAGTTACAGCCATAGATGTCCATCGCGGCTAAGAATCTGCGCGCCGTGACGATAATCAAGAAAAACTACCGTACCACTACTCTAATGATATTCAAAAATGGTGTTTTGATTTTTAAGGCCGTGGCTAGTTTGAACTAGAACTGCTACTGCTAATCGACCAGATTTGCTAAATCTTACAACATCACATAGAGATTCTGTGCAAATTCATGTATTTTAGAAATTTCTTCTTAAAAAAGCTGCTGCGGCGACGACAGCGTTGTCATGAACATTTCTGGTTCGTACTACCGACAGTCTTTGTTCGGTTTGAATCACATGGATTATGAATAAAATTTAGTTTCATGAATTAAAAAAGAATTTTGTTTATATCTCCTAATCAAAAACTAAATAAGAATCTAACCTTTGTTCTGGTATCATTAATAATGATGATATTGATTGATTTCTCGATATTTTTACATTTGATTTTTTTCTTGTGAAATTTTGTTCAATTAATTTTGATGATAAATTAATTTGTATATCAATTTTTGTTTCAAAACTTATAGGATCACCCCAATCAAATGCTATTATTTGTAAATGATATATTTGATCTTTAATAAAATTTTCTTGATTTTTTAAATTTAATATTCCATTAATTGGATGAATTTCAAATGGACAATTATTAAAACAATTCAATAAACAATATGTAATATATCCATTTGTTTGTTTATTATCATCATAATCCAATACTTGAAATTGATATGGTAATTCATATAATTCTATTAATGTTTGATTATCAAAACTAGGTCGATATTTATTAATTTCATAAATATTTATTTCAATATTTGTTTTTATTGAATAATTTTTATTAAATAAATAAATATCAGCTTGAATATCTAAAACATATTTTTGATATTTTATATATTTACCAAGACGTAATACACCAGTTTTTGGATGAAGATTAAATTGCATATGATAATTTAATAATTTATAATTGATAATTAATTGTTGATTAGAAATAATAATATTATTATTATTATTATATTGAAGTTGAATATATGTTATAAATGAATTTATAGGTAAATTTTCTTCAATAGAAATTGGTTGAATTGTTTTAAAATAAAATTGAAATAAATTCCAATTAATTGAAATATTAAAATTATAATTTGTATATTGACATTTTGTACGATTAAAAAAACAAATAAGAAATTGAAGATTATATTCTTGATAATAAAATTTATTTAAATAAATTTTATTTTGATTAATAAATAAATCTATTGAATTTAATGATGAATTATTTAAAAGAAATATTTCATAAAAAGATATAAAAGGAAATATTTTAATAATTAATATTGGTTGATGATTATTAAGAAAATTCCAATTGGAATTTTTTAAAAATAAAATTTTATAAATAGAAATTATTTGTTTAAATTGAATTGTTTCATTAAATATTGTTTTTATTTGATGAAATATTTTATTTTCTTGAAAATTTAATTTAACACGTGCTTTGGTTTTTATATTATTATTAATAATATATTTTCGATGACGATCATATGCATAAATATCAAATTCATAAGTTGTTTGTAAATTATTATTAGATATTAAATATAATTCTCCTGTATATGGATGAAGTGAAAATGTATCATTAAATGTTGATGATAATTCATATAGAATATGTGCATATTGAATTTCATCAGCATCACCAGCATGAAAACGTATCAATGATTGTTGAACTTCAATAGGTTCAGTGAAATTTTTTTCATATATATCCATATCAAATACTCCATCATTATCATTTGAATCAGCAACATGAAGGTTAATCTAACAGATAAAAATATGTTTTTTTTTAAAGGAATTATTTATTAAGTATGGATTAAGCCTCGAAATGAGCCGCCCGATCTGGCCCAGAGAATTTTTGTCTCGGAGCCGGACGGACCTAAAATTTTGTCGGTCTTCTCGGCCTGGCTCAGAGAGAATTTCCTTCCGGACCGATCAGGCCGGCGGCCCTAGTCAGACAGAGTTTTCTCGGGACTGGTCGAACCGTCGATTCAGTCCAAAGAGAGTTTTTCTCCGAACTGGTCGGACCTCTCTGTCCAAACTTTATTACTTTTCTTAAAGAAGATTTCTCACGTAAGAAAATGGAAGAAATCTGATTTTTCAATTTTGAACATAGATTTCATTTAATTTTAGTCGTTCTTAATCGATTTAAAAAAAGTTACAATCGAGAAAACTATCAGAAATCTTTATTCTATGAACGTTTTGGAAGCTTCATTTAATCAATAAATAAAAGCAGAGCATTTACTTTGGTTAAATGACATTCCTGGTCTATACACAAGACCAAATGTACTATCAACTGCATTATGTGGAACAGTGTTAACTATGTACTAAAATTAATAGTGTAGCTAAAAATAGTAATTCAATGGACTCTTTGATATTGATCAGCAAATATTTTACTCGTGAAAGCTTAAATTAATAAATGATAGTCTTCACGAACGTATCTTGCTCTTTCAGTTCAATAAGTAATTTGACTTATCTCTCATGCTGTTTTGATATATGTTTATCTTTCGAAATTTTGTTGTTTGAATATAATTGTATATTTCATTTCATCATCTGACAAGAAATTATCTTTAACAACGATTAATTTAATATATATTAAAATAGCTCACCGACCAAGGCTGCCAGGTCTTCCAGATTACTCAGAAAAATTCTAAATTTTGATATTTTTCTACATTCAAGTTTTTATGAATTTGATTGGATCGATTAGATTTCAAACCGAATCAAAATTAGTTTAGTATGAACTTATTAAAAAAATTGGAGCGATATAATCTAAAAAAAAATCCTTCCGAACTTCCGTTCTCCAGAAATGGGAGCAGGTACCCTTAATACTGTTTAATCATCATCTGTAAGCCATATTTAGAATCTTAAAAAAGTAAATCGATATAGATTCCTATTTTCTTATATGATGATTTTAATCTATGTGAATATAAAAATAGAAGTTTAAAATGATAATTCTATAAGTTTCATAAATAAGTTCTATTGTCAAAGTGATAACATCAAACTTTGTATCAGATGTGATTAGACCAAATACCATTTTATTATATATAATATAATTTATTTCCTCCGTTAGTAAGTAAAACATTAATTAAAACTCATACTCATCTATTTTATTTTTTTTTTTAAAACATCCGTTATCTACAATTTAAAATATTAATCAAAATATGCATACTTTTGCTTGTTCAGTCCAATTTCCATCTGTTGTAATAATATTAGCTTGAATATGAAGTATATAAATATTTTGATATTCTCGATTAATATCAAATGGTCGTGTTATATTAAGAATAAAAAAATAAAAATCTGCTAAATGTTTTGTTTTAACATGAAATAAACCATTATTATTATTATCATCATCATCAATAAGATGATATACAACAGATTTTATATTCGATGTATGATAAATACCTGCTCGTATTCGATTTGGATAAAGAAATAATGAATTCGATAGAATATTTTCTTGACACCATATATCATAAGTTGATTGTGTAAAATAAATATTTTTATTATCAATAATTTTAATTGTCAAAATTATATAAAGAATTAAGATACGTAATGAAGACATGCATAGAAAAGTAACAAAAAAAAAAGAAAAGAAAAGAATTTTGTCAAATCTAAAAATATATTTATCTTTAGTAATAATCAAGAATTGAACAATATATTTCTATCCTTTCTAATCACAACATATACAAAGTAATGGTTTCTACCAATTAAAAGCATAAATCATTCATCAGTAAATATCTAGTTTATTGCATGTATACTTATAAGTGTTCATTTTTTTGAATGTCTAATTCATGTTGGTGAACAGACATATAGATATATAAACACATTGATGATGATAGATGAACGATGACATGACCATCAACAAATGTGTCTGTATACAATCTAGAAACAAAAAAAAACGAATACTTGTCGAACAAATTACTACCTTCATATCTATTTATATAGGTCATCTTGATTCATTTAACAGGATTGGATGAGACATCTTTATCGGTCTATATACATTCATTTTATCGATTGTTCAACAATGTTTTATTCTTAGTCTACTCTTCTCACTGATTATAACAACGAAATATGACATACTATGAAATCATTTTTATTTTTGTAAGCTTTAATGTGTCACATTTTTTTTTCTTCTTGTTTGAGATGACGTGATTATAGTTGATTGTGTATGAACAGTTTATTTTTATTGTCAGTTTACGTAATGAAAATATATAAAGTAAAATACAGAAGATAAGTTTGAACACTTACTTTTGTAAAAATCTATTTTTCTTTTATTAAGTTTATTTTAAAACTATTTTTCTTCTTGATAGATTCTATTATGAAAATGGCTTCTCAATATTGAATAATTTAAATACTCAATCGATAGTTTATTTTTCTTTTCATTAAATGAAACAAAACAAAATAAAACAAAACTACTAGTCAGTTGAAAGTCAATTTCATCATATGAATAGAGAATAAGATATATACACGTCAGAATTTATGATGTAATATAATAACTATAGTGAATGTCTAGGAAGCAAAGTTTATAATATTCTATATCCGATTGCTTTTATAATTTCATTTTTACTTATATCTTTTTAATCAAGGTTTCTTTTCCTAATACTTGATGATGATAGAATTACGCAAAACGTTTGTGTTCAAAGGCATAATAGTAAAAAAAAAAGGAGAGATTGAACAAAGGCATCTATTGTGTTATATTATTTATTGAATTTATAAAGCGTATATGCACATATTTGTTTTGCACCATCACTAACTTGTGAAAAGTAAGTGATCATTAAGTTCAATGCCACAGTAGGAATCTTACAAATATACACAGAAGGACATGTAGGTAATTTGATAATAGGTGGTACTCGAACAATTCGATTATCACTAGGCAATTGTGGATGATGATCGATGAGTATTCATTATAAATCGTTTCATATGCTTTGAAGAATATTTAGGGCCAAGGTAAAATCCTAATGTAGTTGATTAAAGCAACGTGTATAATATTAAGAACAGAAGAATATCTATACTCTTCCTCTTATGATTATTTAAGATGAAGAAAATATCTGATATTATATGTACAACAAAATGCAAATCAAACAAAGAATAAATTTTTAATGGTATCAACTAGCAAGGTTGAATAACTAAGTCAGATGGACAAAAGAAAAAAAAAGACCTTTATGTACAGAGTCAATTAGTTCAGAAAAAGAGAAGAAATAGTCTTTGATAATTGTTTATTTATTTAAATTCAAAAAGAACAATAAATTTTTCATATACTAAGCATATTCTCTAACAATTACAAGTGGATACTTGTTACTATTACATATGCATACTCATCATTTAGTGAAGAAGGTCATTCTGTTGTTTGACGACAAGAAACGAATGTTACGTTTTTTGTATAACTCAATCAAAATGATTGATTACTGATAATTAAAAATAAATAAACGTAAGAAAAAATTTAGAAGTTTAATCATAACTATTCTGTGTAGTGTTTTGATTCGAATTTTTATTATTGTATTATTTGAGAAACATAGAAATCGAATAGAACAGAATCAGAAACAATGAGTTTAATTAAATGATGATAATCAATTTTATATCATGAAGTTCATTTTAATAGATATCAATTTGAGCTCTTATACACATACAATATAAATTCAATTCGATTATATTCTTGTATTTTTATTTTGTTGATTATAATCTTTTATATCACAACGATATAAAGCTGTTTTAAATTAGATAATATCTTTTAACAGATTGTACTAATGATAAAATATCAATCGATTACCTATCTATTGTATCTTATTGTTCATCTATTGAGAATTAAAATTTCATAAATCATTTTCATTCACTAAGAATAATATTACTCATACATGTTTAGAAAAACAAAATTGTTCAATAATCTTATTATTGTCTAGTGATATTAACATGTAGAAATAACAAAAAAAAATTGTCATAATGAATTATATGAAAAGCAAAATAAAACTAATTCATTGAGAATTTTAAAATGTTCTACATGAAATTAAATTATTGATATTCATAGCATGTTAAATATTTCATAAGATAACAAAAAAAATTTTCGATACATCTTAGTAAATAATCGATTAAATTGTAGATTCGATATATAAATATTTCTGCACAATTTATTCTATTATTTTTTCTTTAATGAATATCGAATATCATTCTCCAACGGATATGAACAACATCGAAGAAAAGAATATTTCTTTATGGATTTATCATAGCAACCTATTTTGAATTCTTTTTTTTTTATAATATAATTCCGGATGATGATTACAGTCACCGAGATGGACAAAAGCGGAATTATATACTGTCGTTTCAAGTAATTTATAGTGATAAATAGCTGTAAATTGACGTTTGATAGGTGCAATATTAAGACTATATTTTATCGAGCCGTATAAAATTGATAATAGTCGTCAAACGGTCTGAAAATCGAGTATCTGAGCGTTCACAATACAATGAAATACGGTCGTCATACTGCATGTACTGAAGGACAAAACAACCATCTAAAATGTTCATTTATAATCGTGCTTATTCAGTCAAAGTGAACAAAGTGGTGTATTTGAAGTTTTAATACCATCCGGTTTTTTACGTTCATCTTTTTGAAAAAAATTTTGAGAAACACAACTAACGTTTTTTAATTATTTTAATGAGAAAAAAAAACAGTAAATTTCTTCCCGGGATATTCCTGTTAAAATGTGGTTTTTTTAGATGAAAACCAACTCTGAGGACGAAACCTTTTTTTCTTACAAACAGATAGAGCATAGAAGTTTCTATCGGTTGGTCTATTTTTTTTTCTTTTTAGAGTAAAACTCTTGGTTAGGAAATATGAAATACTGGAAACTATCAAAATTTTTTTTGCTTGAAGCTAAATTATTTTAATTATAAAAAAATCTGTATAGACAGATGGAGGAGTCCCCTCCAGTACTAAATCATGTAGTCGACCTCTTGTACTATATATATATATATCATCACTTGAATTAGATTAATATCTCTTCATGTGAAAGAAAAATTGAAAAAAAGAAAGTTGAAAGAAACGAACTCGGTTAAACTTTTATCGCCGACTGAAGAAACTTTATCAGATTTAGGAAGCCCATATATGAGAAATCAGTAATTTTATCTTAAAAAAATCTATTCATGCATTTCCTGTTTGATTAGAATGTCAAACACGATATAGCCTGTTGTCATTAATTTCAAGTAGATCATTTTATTCTATCTATTTTGAGAAATATTTCTTCGTCATTCTTTTACTTAATCCTCTAGAAATACAATAAGAAAGTAATAACGAGACGTTATTCATAATTAATCTATGATAGTACGTCAACGTCTGCTATAGTCTATGGAAAAAACATTTTTATTTAAAATTCTACTATGAAGAGCCAAAATTTGTTGTGTATATATATATTTTTTTCTTTTTGTATGCATGTATTAATTTTCTAAATAATTATGTATTTGATGTTACAGGATGTGTTAATAATTTTTCGCTTGATTTCATTTTTGATGCTAGTCAAATATTATTATATCTCATCGACGTAATTGACAAATTAAATATCAGATTAAGAAAAAAAAAAACAAGTATAAATATAACATCATATTAATAATTTACTGAATAATATAACGACTATAGAAATATTAAACATAATCTTTTTGTTGACTTTTGCTTGGTTTATTTGAATGTAAAGAAAACAACAACAACAAAAAAAAGTCTTTAGAAATAATAAAGTATCTGTTTTCCTTTCGTTTTTTTTTTATTTGCTAATTATATTTGAAAATGATTGTTAGTTGGTTTTAAAATTTTTACAAATAATAATGGTCTACCACTTATTTCTCGTTGTTTTGTTCGATCGATCATATTCCATAATGAATATAATGGACTATTATCAATTGAATTTTTATTTGTTAATATTGGTGATTTGTCATATGTTTTATTATAATGTCTATTTATTGCTAATGAACCATTAGTATCAAATAATAATGGTGATTTAACTGAAAATGATGGATTACGTTGTTGATTTATTTGATTATTATAAGGTTTTAAAGAAAATGTTGTTAAACGTCGAGATGTTTGACATATACTTTGACGATTATCAACTGAATAAACTGAACAACGACGACTTGATGAATGTCCTGCTGGTGGTATTAAACATGCACGTCCATTAAGACCTATACGTGCTGTTACACCAGCATTACCACCACCACCACCACCACCAAAACGTGTTGGAAAAAATAATCGAACAAATTCTCGACGAAATACTCTTCCTGTTAAAGCATATAAGAAAAAATTACATGAATGATTTATATATTGACATAATTCAGCTACAGCTTTGCCAATAGCTAATGGAGTTTCATTATGACCAGGTTTTGATATACTTTGAACTATTTGCATTAGTGACATTGGAGCTGAAAATACACAAAATGCAATACTAACAGATAATAACATAAATGTAATACGGCGACCAACACGAGTATTATTTAATGAAGTTGGATGTGTTGAATTAATCATTACTGATGATGAACGACCCGTAAGACTTGAACTTGATGTTATTGAATATTTATGATAACTATGTAATTGACGAAGATTCTGTAATTGTGCACTAATATTTTCAGCATGAAATACTTGTTGTATAATAAGTATACTTAATAATAGTAATAAAAAAAATGGTATTGCAGAATATTTTAATGCATCAATAAAAATAAAAATTTTTCCAACAAAATGTCGTGCCCATAATTTTGGATGACATACACGATGTTCACCATCAATTATTTCTAATTGTAATGTTAGTAAAAAATGACCATCAATCAATATAAATACTGTAAAGATAACAACTAAAACCTAAAATCAAAAAAAAAGAAATCTATCAAATATTAAAGTATCATTTAACATATATTGATTTAGTACTCTTCAAATTAAAATTAAAAGCTACGTGATGAATAAAAAAGATGACAAAATTAAATTAGATATTCTTTCTCTTGTTGAATTTCATTTCTAATTATTTTCTATAGTTAAAAAATGTAAAATAAATTTCTATTTTCGATAAAACTTTCATTTTATCTTCTATCATATAATCTTACCCATTTAGCTCGTTGAGTTGTACACATTTGTGAAGCTCTTAATGGTCTTGAAACAGCAAAATATCGTTCAAATGACATACATACAGTAATCCATACACTATTTAAAAAAAAACCCAAACAAACTATTTATCCATTTTAACAAGTTTTTTTAATTATTATTTTTTTTTCAATTGTTTACCTTGCATCGGCAAAAAAGACAAAAAGAAATGGAAGTAATTTACATGTAAAATTTGATTTAACAACAAATGTTTGTAAATTCATTAAATAAAACCATTGATTAAGACAACCAGTCCATAAAACAAGTGTATCTGTTACAGCAAGTACTGCCATATAAAAACAAGTTGATGATACACGCATACGTCTTCGACGCATTACAATAAATGTCATTATATTACATATGCTACCAAATATAATTAATATTGGTAATGTTATTATTTCAATACGATAGGCCAGGGCCAATATCGCAAGACCACTTGTTTCATTATTCATTGAGAATTCTTTCTTTTTTTTTTTTTGTTCTTATCTTATGTTTGTTTTATTTTGAATAATAATTCATCTGAAAGGAAATGAAAGGATCTATTATATATATATATATATATTGTTGGTTTTGTTTTTATCATGGTTTACAAAGTAAAGTAATAGAAAACATATAAAATACAAGTTAATTTAAAGATAATATAAAAAGGAAATAGAAAATGTTTTCTTTTTCCGGTTTTGTTTTTATTCTAAAAATAAAGAAAACAAAAGATATCATATATATTTAATTCTAAAATGATAATTTTCGTAGGCTTTAAATCGATTAGATTAAAACTTCTTTATTAGAAATTCTACACACTTCCGATTCTTACCAAAAAATAAAAGCATACATTTGAGTAACTATATTTTTTTATCTGTCCTTTCTTCGCTTGAACTTACTGATCGTAATATTGTATTTAAAATAAATTCATCAATTAAAAAAAATTTTTTTTTGCTGAAATTATAAAACTTCAATGTTAACAATCAAAAAAGAAAGATCTAAAAACAAAAAAGAAGTCTTTTTCTTAGAAAAAATTTCAGTGTAAATGTTATAAACTATGTTATCTTACAGATTTAAAAAGATTATCCAACCGTAACTTGATCTTAGTTCTTAAACTAAAATGTCATCCACCAGTGACCTAGAATATCATTTTATTTTATGTCATATAATTTTTTGTACTACACTTTATTACATGGTTGATGCCAGACTTTTATATCAAATTATCTCTGGTAGAAATTACTAGACCAAATAATTTCAAGCAAATCACAACTCTAAATTGATCTCAACTGTTGATTTCCTTAGACAAAGTAATAATTTATTTCATCGAAGTGAACAAGATTACGACTTCAATTAATAAATGACGGATATTAAAGTTACACCGAAATTTAGCGGAAATAAGAAGTTGTCAGAAAAAATTTCATGTCTATCGTTAGTTTTCTTGTAAAAAAAAATACAAATAATCGAGAACTATTACTTTCAATTATTTTGATGACACATTAAAACCTAATTGCATCTGTCAAATAAAACAAAATTCATAATAACACATTCATCATATGAATCTATCTCTATCTATATTCATCAAATCAAATTCTTGATATATTCATAAGAAAAAAAAAATCTATTTGCATAACAAATTATCCTATAGTATAACTCTAAATTTAAGAATACTCACAGATTCATTCGTTATTATATTTGTCTTGTACTTCATATACAATTAAAGTTCTTCTTCTTTTTTTTTTTTAGAAAGATACTCTTAACAAGAAAGTTATGATGAGAATGAATAAGATTAGAAATAATTCGTCTTTATTCGCTTTGAAGCTCTCGTTTATTATTTTGCTACTAAACTAGTAACGGGGAAAAAAAAACATCTATACAACTTACTTTGATAATTATATATAAAACTATGCGTGAGGAGAAAAAAACGGAAATAATATTTCTATAATTTAGACGTGAGATAAATCTAAAGTTTTTAAGGACATTTTTAAAAGTCATCTGTTTAATTGTAATAGAACTGAATAAAAGATTAAAACAAAAAAACAGAAACTTTTTTTTTTGTTTTTATTATTTGAATAAATATATATTGCATCATGCAACTTATACAGAACATCATTATTTACAGTTATTAAATAAAGAATGAAAGTCTTTAATTTGTAATCATAGAGAAAAACAACAGTAATATGATATCAAAAAGAAAGATCTTACTTATTCTGTTTCTTGCCTAGAAAAAAGCGGAAAAGAACTTTGATGGTTTCAGTTTCTTTATTAATGGCCAAGTACAATATTTATATCATTATTATTTATTCTATTCATAGATCTTACCATAACAGACACTTCATAGATAATATTCTTCTAAAAAAAACAAAGAGTTGAAATTGAAAGTTACTCGATCGTATAATACATGTCCGTACCAGAATAGATAATAGCTTTATTGTCTTTGTCATGTCAAACAGTCCGAATATGAGTAAAGTATAGATTCCAAAATTGGATATATATGCAGTTTGCTGCCATCATCAATTATTCTGAATTAATGTTCAATACAAACGACCAATATAATATGATAAAAAAAAACAAAAAAGAAACAGATAGAGAGAATAAGAAAGAAAAAATAAACTACAAGGGGTCTAAAAATGCTAAAAATCAAGGACAATAAATAAGCAGAAAATAATTAATGCTATCTCTTATCATAAAAAAAATGCTAAGTCAACTACAAGTTATTGAAAACAAAAAAACAAAAATTTGGCAATTTACAGAAATTTTCATAAGTCTTTTAATATCCTTCTTACATGTTGTTTCAGTAGATTTCCACAATCTCTTTATTTCAATGAGTTAATTTCAATTAATATTTGAATTTTTTTTTTTTTGAAAATTTTTAAACAATTTTTATTTATGAATTTTTGCATTAGAATGATCACACTTTGTGTGTTCTCATGTGAATTCATTCTACTCATCGCTAAATATAGATTTTTTATTAAAATATTAATAAAGACATAAATAATAGTGACACATCAATCAATCTATTAATATTTTCACTTACGATGGGAAAAAATGTATTATTAATAAAGAACACCCATGTAAAATTCGCATTTTTTTAAGACTCAATTCTTTGTCCGTTTTCGACTCTACCTCTTCTTGTACATCTAATTTCCAACATTTTTTCACAAAGAGCCTATTTGCTCAAATACACTAGTTTTTTTTTTCATAAGAAAATGCAATTTAGTATAATTTTACGAATAGAATTTTTAGATCTATTTTTTTATGTTCATCGATATATGTATATGTTAAAATTTATGGATGTTGTATTTTGCTCTGTTTCATTTCAAGCCGATATTGTTGATCTTTCAATAAAGAGAAAGTTAAAGTCACAAGTAATATGTTTAAAGCTGAGAATGACCGTATTTAAAAGATCGAACATTCCTTTTGTTTTTGTAAAATTATACTAAACTGTATTTTCTTATTAATTATTTATTGCTATTATTTCAAGTCTATTCTTTAAATTTACTAAGCTTTTTTATATTTTCAAATATGCTGATCAAAACCAATTGAATTTAAAAAAATTATAAGAACTCATAATAAATATTCGAACACTGTGGTGTAACTGATTCTTCTCCCTTTCGTGTTCAGTTTTTACTGATCCTCTCTCTTTCTCTTCTATTGAATGCTTTCAATAAATGACTCAAATGTGAAGTTATGATAATCCCAAAAAATAGATAGGTTTACAATTTTTATGACAAACAGACTCATTTTAATAGATGTTAAAATTATTCTAAAATAGTTTCAATGAGAAACTTTTATTTATATTTCAAATAAATTAACCTACCTGCAGAAATAATCATCGTTTACCAACTTTATGAATTAAAGTCAAATAGTCATACTATATAATGTAATCTTGATCATAAATATTGATATTAGTGTATGTACTTAATTCGTGTTTGGATATGATCTTAGTTCGAGCAATATATAGAACGTTGTGATGTATCATGTCAGTAGATATTCTAGAAGTCGATGATGTGTTGAAAGAATATGTTTTGAAGGATAATTCGTCTACAATAGATAACGATGAAAGAGATGAATATCTCAAAAGACAAATTTAGTTATTCGAAAGGTCAATATTTTTTTTTTATTGTGAATTCTATTCATCATCAAAATAATTCACGAGAAATTAATTGAAGAAAAAGTAAAGATTAAATATTCTTTTATTTAATATTCTTAATCAATTTGAATCAAATGAATATTAAAAAAAAATCATAGTTGTCTTGAAATTGACTGAACGCTATTTCGTTTTAATGGAAGACAAAGAATTTAAATGTTTGATAAATAATCTCATTTATATAGATCTATTTGAAATTTTGTTAAAAAATTCTTTCAAGGTCATATGTTTATGAATTATAATCTTTTATTATTTCTATTAAATCTTATTTAAAACAAATAAATTTCATTTCTTTGTACTTATTCAATAGATATACAATATCATAATTAAACCTTATATTTGACAATCATATCAATCAAAAATTCGTTGTTTTCTTTTTTGTCTTTTAAATAGAAACCTTGATCGAGATAACGCGTTCAAAAAACTATTCCATTAGAAATAATGTCAAATCATTTCATCATCACTATTTTTCTTTTTCTTTTCTTAGATACTAAATAATAAGTGATCAAAAAAAAAAAACTACATGATCAATATGAATTTATCACCGATGTCATCATAGTTGTTTATTTGATTTTCATTAGCCAGACAGACAATTGTATAAAGATAATACAATGATCAGAGATAATAATTTGACCATGAAGTTAATTGTAACGAAATGAAAGAAAACATAATTATAACACTGATGATAACCTTTGAACAACAAAAGATATTGAAGCATTCAGGCGATCAAGGTTTTTTGTTTTGGTTTAAGAAGGGATATATATATATTAAAATATTCAATGATAATAATGATTTAATTCTTATTCTTATTTTTAAAGATATCTAACAAGAATATCAAATACAAATATTATCTATTCGATTAGATATATCGACTAAACTGAATATTAATTGTGATCATAAAATTCAATTGAAATAATAATACTTCTTAGTCAAAAATACGAGAGAAAAAAAAAGACTTCTAATTTCATATAATTCGATTTGACATGAACATATACTTAACTAATGATCAATGGTAACAATAATAAATAATAAATTTTTATATAAATAGTTAAATAAAAATTTTCTATTATATTCAATAATTCATTTAATTACTATAGTATTTTTTTTTCTTTATATCTTACATTCAATGATCTTATTTGATGGAATATTTTCTATTATCGATTTTCTCTAATGTCTTGCCGACTAGTCATAATCTATGGTATTCTTATAATTAAGTGTATTGCAATGGATCGTTAAATGAGTAAATAGTGTTAATCACATTATATACAACATACATTATGATGATGAGATAATTATGCAATCTCGTAGAATTCGATATCCAAACAT